CTGTACGATGTTGTTCAATCATTAGAAATTATATCACACTTATAGGACAGATTGCGGTGGCCATTATTGCTGTGAGCATATCCTTGCCTTTACTATATTTTATTGATATTTATAAAGATGAGCCCGATTTTTTCGATATTCCCCGCGTCAGCTTTAACATATCAGTTTATTTAATAATACATACTAGCATAATTTACATTATCCCAACAATATTTTTAATTGCAGTTTACTGGAAGATCATTCATTATGTGGTTAGATATGTTCGACCGAGGCAAATCAATTCAGTAGGATGGACAGAAGCGAGTGACGGTGGAAGAGCTTTAATGCGAACATTTCTCATTACAACATCGGTTGATTTTCTTATTACAGTTCCTTATTTTGCAACAACCTTATCTCTGGCTTTTACTCAACAACCGCAACGTCAAATCAGAAATCGGAATAGCGCATTATACGTATTTATCTACTATTCGTTTGCGACTACAGCAGCGGTATCAATTATTAATCCACTGATAATGTTAAAATTCGATAGTTAAGTAAATCGAGCGGCGAAAGATATCCTAAAAATTTTTCGACAAATATGCCGCGTAAGATTTCGAGAAACAGTTAGCTCTACTTTTAATGATGAAAATAGACCAGTAATCATCCAAGATTATTAGTTGAAATCGTTTTATTAACTTACATCTTAAATAATGATTCGTAAAGTGAAACCGGTAGTTTTTATGGAACTTGTCTATACTACAAGATCATCGCCACTGTTCAGCTGGACGTGTGCCCATTGAAATTTTGGTAGCTTATTTGAATTGCTAGAGGCTCATTAACAAATTATAATAATCCAGATATAGTAAACAAGAATCTGGCTTTTTATAATTGTATGATTGGAGATATTTTAAGGTACGATATAAATAAGACCAAAACCATTATTAAATCATAAATATTTACACTAAATAGTATATTCGCTTATTTCAGCAAAAGTACTAGATTGTATCATTTTATCGATATAGCCAGGGGTCTGAGTAGCATAACAAAATTTCATAAAATTTGATATTATGATAGAAGATTACAATACTTTTATGGCTGCATTCATTTTTATGGATAAAAAACCTAAATTTAGATTTCTCATCTACTTACATTAAAATATAGATTACATTACTGATTAAAATAGCTGTTAATGAGCCAGCGAACATATTAATTATTAAATAATATTAAGCAAAAGCTAAGTATGTTCTATTACGAATTATTATTTTTGGGATTCATATTTAAACTATTAATCCTTACACTAAAGCGAAGATTTGATAAAAGATAAATTTATAATGAACTATCCTTTAAATTTCTTAATTGATACGATGATATTGACAGTGTTCTCAAAACTATTGGACAAAAGATTTCTTGAAAGTATAGAAAAGTGTATGAATGATAAAAAATATCGTATTTTCTATAAAGACGATAATTTATATGTTGGATAAGTTTCTGTTAGAAATTAAATTATAAACTTGAATAGTAATAGTTTTCTAACACATGCCAATTACCTGGATACTGCGTATTAAAAGAAATGGGTGCTTTTATTTTACTGTACTTTTCAGATTAGGTTTTCGTTTAAGAACTGCTATATTAAAATGCCTTATGGAGTATTTCTTGTCCTTATTTACAACTGCAATGATACTGTATTATCAACTGAGACCAAACTATTCTTACAACTGTTGTAATAACCGTCTTACATACACCGTAAGCATGACTATAATCAGATTCGACTAAAGAATTAATTTGACTTAAGGCTTTTACAAAGCTCAGTATTTGTCTTTTTCTTGCTTGAATCTAATTATTTGTGCGCGGCAATAAAATATATAATCATTACATCAAAAAAGATTGCAGTAGAATCTGTTCGTTACTGACAAAATATCAATCAAGAGATTGGTGATATGGCAAGTATAGTATCAGGTATCCATTCCGTATTCTTTTTGTTTCTATAACTGTCGCGCTTATAAAGCTTATATTGTCTACTAACTACTAATCGTTAATTTTTCTGCCGCCGATTATCATGCTATCTGATAGATCCATTCTCATATTACGCCATAAACAAGGTATTCCTAAGTAATCGTGTAAAGAGTAACTTACTAAATATTTGCATCAAGTCACCGTCGTGATATTTGGCGTAAAGTTATTGTTATTAAAGTCAATTTCTAAAGCTAGGTTAAGTGTCTATATAATTAATCACACGTAACTCGCAGAGCATGAGAAGAGTTACTATTAGTCATTATAATTGTATAAATTTGATTCTGGTGCTATAAAAATAAGTTTGTATTCTGGAACGACAATACTGCTAATACTTAATAGTTACTAATCGTTATCTAACTGCATCAAAATATCCTCTTTTACTATAATCTAGTTTCGTATTAGTCACATGTGTTGGCATTTTTAGCAGATTAAGTAACTGTAGTCATTCTAATTACATATATGTCGTAATTTGAGCTTATTGCAGCAGTAACACAAAGTACGTCAGCATTAAATAGTAGATTAGTCTCTTACACTTAATGATCTAACGGTGTTATGGCTGTCGTGATGAAATTTTAATAGCTCCAATTTTCTGTAAATGGATTATCAGCTTAAGGAATTGTAAAATCTATCTACTACAGCGTATAAGCATATACTCGTAGAGACATTGAGCAGTCAGTTCTTAATCACAACCATCTTTTAATAGTTGATATTAAAGGAATAAAATGATTTCAATCCTAGTATTAGAATAAATTAAATATCTAATCGTAGCTAATTATTTTATAACACGAAGTAGACAGCATGCGACAAATCTATTCTCTTCCAATCCATTATGATCAACATTGCAACTGGAGAGCCTAATTATAATTTTTCTAATTAGATATGCAGATAGGGAAGAATAGTGGGCGTGTTGCTACGGTAATCAATCATCTCTCACTTGGCATACTTGATTCTAGATCAATTCCTCAAGCAATAATGTTTACTATCAAAGTTAGTAGAAATATTGTAGACAGTTTGCTTGGCCTATACCGTATAAAAATTTTCTGATTTTGCGCAGATAAATGGGATTATGCAATTGAAGAAATGATCATGCGATTTGAAGCCTTTATTATGCTTTACTATTCGTGGTAGAAGCCTAAATTTAGAGGAAGAAAATCATTTTATGCCTTTAGCCTAGATTGCCATCAGATTTACATCAGATTTACACCAGGTAGGCTACACGCTTTGATCGTTTGAATTATCACTTATGCTAATTTAATTAAGTAAAATAAAATCGATTACAGTAAACTGCCGTATCCAGAAACGTTATTGCACGCATATAATGTAACTGAATTCGACTAATTATTTCGGTAGATCTCTTTCGGTTATGGTAGTAAACACTTGTTTGATCGTGATCAACTTCTTGCTATTGAGTCAATACACTGCAGTTTCCGAATTAAGTACGTCAATCTGACCCTACAACAGAGTAGATAGAGCAAAGTCTAAATAAACTTCAATTCTGTCTTTTTCACACCCGTTGAAAAGTTATAATATCTGTCGAATTAGGTCTGTTCATCTTCCATGTGCTTACACAACTCTAATAGTAGCATCAAAGTTATCATTATGTATCTAGCAGAAGTTTTTGCGGCCATTCTTCAACTGTCACTAAGCTTTTGCCTATCTTTGAGACGTATTTTCAGTAGTTGTTTATGAAAACCGTAAACAAATTGCTGTGTGATATTCTTAGTATGGACACGTAATGCTACGATTCTGAATAATACTTCACTATCATCTATACATCAGTTCTTATATAATCTAATATAATAAGATGGTAATCTCTTCCATTTCATACATAACTTGATGTAAGATTTCAATATCCACGATTTAGCGTTCTGATTAATTTACTGGACATTTACCTTAGAGTGATTATCGACACTTAGCTGTCCTTCTATGCGAAACATATAGAAGAATAATTTTACTGCATTCATAATCTTTATATTTCTTTTTTCGTTATTAGTATATCGTTCATTATTTTCTAAGAGCAATTAACCTTAGAATAGAAAGTAATCTTGTCTAGTATCTTGCTACAACTAGCAACTATTACAGTTTTTCATTAGCGCTTCTCTATTATAAAAGTCAGAAGAATTCAAGGTACTGCTATCACAGTATTCTGCTGAATGAAGTATGTCTTTAATTCTTGAGCTGTACCTCTTACTTTATTGGCATTTAAAGTAAGTAATGGCTTTTACTTAAAAGTCTAAGATTTCGCGTCATCTATTTTGGAATGAGTAAATTGTAGTTAAATATTAAGATTGATACTTTGATAACGTGAAATTTACTTAAATTATGTACAGTACTGAAACTTTGTAAATGCGATAAAGTAGCTAAATTAGAACCCCAAGACACTGCTATTTTATTCATAGAAAGCTACAATAATTATCACTAGCTAATTCAGCTTAAAGTAGATATTTACTTTCGTAAGTTCGAAAGGAGATATTATAACTGTATATTATTAGTTTTAGAATGGCTGTCTAAGCAATCCGATTAGAGGAAGCTAGAAGAGATATCATAGCGTCAAAGATTGATCTCGATGTGGATATATTCTCACTGGTCATAATATTGTATTAATTAAGCATGCTATTTTAACAGCTTGAACATGGAGGGCTCTATTTTTGTTCATTTTTGTAAGAAAACTCTCACTCATGTCTCTTGGAATAAAATATAATTGATCCGTTTTGCTTCAGATTCATATTGCTTGGCATCATTTTAATTCTTTAAAAGAGTAAACTGATGAGCATTGCTAATCATTACTATATATTCAGTTACATTCGATCATGCTTTATTTCGATATCATTTATTTTCTAGTTTGACATAGATTTAATGAATGATATTCCAGCAGATTTTAAACAACTTTAAATGGTATCTTTCAACATCTGTAACAATTCAAATTCATGCTTTATTTCTAGATCATATAGCAACAATCAATAAATAAAATGTTGTCTAAAGAAATTAAAAAGGTATTGACAAAAAACATGAAGCGAATATGTAATGACACGCCAACAAATGACATCCTTAATGAACTAGCAGCTGATGGTGTTATGTCCAGTTCTGAAGCATCGAAACTAAGAAGAATCCAGGATGATAACGAAAAAAATTTTGAATTATATAAAATTTTGGAGAAAAGAGGAGATAGAGATTTTTTAAAATTTTGTGAAGCACTTAAGAATCACGATACTGACAATGCCCAAGAATTAGGAAATTTATTGGAAAATCAAGCTAAGAATGCAATTTCAGGTGTCCAACCTAGTCCTGGTAAGATGATTCTGAAAAGCTTAATGATACAGAATAGGCCGTTTGGTAGCCCTATTTCCTCTGAATATGGTAATTTTCTTTTTGATATAGTTGTAACCACCCCAGTTACGTCAGTAGCTCCCATTTCTCATGAAGGTTAGTACAATAATTAATTTACATTTATTTACACAGATATAAAATGTTAATATAAGTGATCTTGTCAGCTATTGCGTGAATGCATACTGTACCGTATCTGTTTACCTATAAATTTAGTTTCTTTTACGGTATTTTTTGTTCTCATTAGCTTGTGGAAGTAGAATAAAGTGATAGAATTATCGACTTATGTAGCGATTGACTACGTGTTCTTATTCAAATTTTGGCTACAAGGATAAATTACTAACCTACTCAACCAGAAATTGACAGTACATCACTTATAATTAGCTCATATTTTTACTTCCATTTTTCGTTTTAATAAATGCTTTCTGTATTCCTTATCACATTCTTTTACTATTAGCTGGAAAGGATACCACTGATCAGGCATCTGCAGTTAATGATCAAACAAAATATAGTTACGGTATACTGATAGAATTCGATAAAGGCTGAGATTAAGAAATATGGATATTTCGTTAGCTTGAGAGTATCCAGTAAAAGAGATATTATCTGTTTGTTAGATGTATTTCTTAGCCACTCCTGGGATAATAAGGAAGACGTCATTCATGTAAAAAAATATCTGGAAAGTAAAGGAATTACCTGTTGGATAGACAACGAGCAACTCAGTGGGGGAATGAAACTTTTACCGGAAATCTCTAAAGCTATCCTAGCGTCTAGGGTATAAAAACTTATTTTTATTGAGCAGTTGTATCTGCTGCTTCACTATAATAGCAGATAACCGGCTGAATATCGCAACCACTTAGCATACTACCATGCTATTGGAATAGATATTATTCGACTATATGACCAAATAAAGGATATATCGAATAAGACTTCATATTTATTTATTCAGTTAACTTTTACTTACTGCATTCTTCAGCTACGTTTTCTCAAGTAGAAGCAGTAAAAGGAATAACTTTAATTATAAATCTTCTGAGATAGCATCAATTGAAGGTGGTATAATGATAACGAAAATATTTACTAGCTGAATAGTATTCATTTCAAGTTACACTGAAGTAAAGATAATTCTTACAGTAATATTTTAAGCTGATATTCATTCACTATGTTTAAGAATGGATGCTTGGTATTTAGGTTTTCTTCGGATATGATGCAGTTATAGGTGTTATACAGCGTTATTAAATTTCCGAACTTGTAGGCTAAATCAGAAGCAGATTAATACCTTGGGATAATTGTTTCATTCTGACAGCTAATTTGATATTACTTCACTATGATCTTCTGTAGGTGTTTGTGCCGTTTATGAGTAAGAAATATATCGAATCAAAGAATTGCTATTCGGAAATCAGCTACGCCAGTGACAAAAAAAAGGATATGGTAGCAGTCATTATTGAAGATATAAGACCACAGGGCGAGTTAGTCTCATCTACAGGAACAGATTTCTATATCTATATTACTGGAGATTTATATATCAAAATCCTCGTCAATAAACAAGCAACGGCTGAATTAGAAAAGAAATTAAATGAATTATACGAATCGATTAGAAAAGCAAAGAATTCGAGGAAGTGATCGAATTAATTCTACCAACAGTAAATAAAAAAAGCTTGTTCAGCATTTATCAAGTTTTGTTCTACTGTTATTAATATTATCCTCTAACGTTTAGACTATTGATGAGTACCTTAGTCCCATGCTATCATGATGCTATTTTAATGAGCGTTTTAAATCAATGTCTAGGGCTCTAGGCTATACTACAGTCTTTTAGTTTGTTCTCTTATCGTAAAACTCTTTGTATACTTTAAGTATTCTAATCGGTTATTGTACTGTTCTAGCGCTGTTAAGTATTAGGTCGGGATAGGTATAAATGTGAAAGGAGTAGTAGAAATTAAGAACGATCGATATTCATGTAAGACTTAGCTGCTAGCCCTGCTAATGATGCTGTAGTAGTGGTCTGGAAGTTTAAAACTGCTTGCAAGCTGTCAATCCAATAGGATGCAAACTAGATCAATTTCCAAGTTCTACAACTACTATGATACTATACGTATATCATCAATCAATGACAGCCGACAGGCATGTAATATTCAATATGATAGCATTGATTTTAGCCAACTGTGTGAAAAAAACTTACAAATGTTCTTCCTTTGCCATTGATTATTCTTAATTATCTATCGGCCATAATCAATGCAGCGCATACATAAGTTTTTCTTTTAGTACCGTTCCAATTTGATGTTATGATGTCTCGTTGATGATAGTGAGATTAATTAATCGATAGAATTCAATTTGTTGTTAAGAGCGATTTTGATTTGTCTATTAAATTATCTTCTATACTGAGTTCAAATTGTTTTCCTTCTTGTCCAATTTGAGCGCTACAAGGGGCCTCTACCAATACGGTGGGCCGATGAAAAGTTGAATTCCTTCTTACTAACCGATGTTGAAAGCTATATGAACCAACGAGTAGAGGTTGAAAGAGTAAATTGATGGGTACGATCATTTTCAGAGTTGATCATTTCATTTCAAAATAGATTAGTGTAGAAAACAACTTGCAACTTCTGTCTGTATTTCTTTTATTGGCCCATGTCATCCACTCTTCATATTCATGCTCTTCTACGTATATATATATCTGATAAGCGTTGAATCGAATAGGTTGAGTGGTGGCTTTGCAGTTCATAAAATTGATTTCAAGACATGTACGTAAAATTACATTAGCTACGATGGCCAATGCTCATGATCCATGTCTAACGTTGCGGCCAAGTGGCAATAGGCATGCCATTTAACATGCTGCAGAGTCGATATAGAAATGGTCTTTGTACAGTGCTGCCTTTTTTTTAGAAAAACACTAAAGACCTCATAGGATGAAAGTTGTCGTATACCATCGTTCAAATCCCTAGGCATTCCCTCATTAAATGGCGTGGCTGGCTACTCCTGTTGATTATGAAGTCAATCTTAATCGTTTTCGACTTGACAACGGCTACAGTCTTCTGAAATAAGATATAACAGGGAGAATATATATCATATATATTACTGTATGCATCGGCAGAGCATCCTTGCTCAGTCATCGCTCTCGTTCCACTTATCGTATTGCTGGTCTATCTTGCAGCATAGCGCTGACCAGAATACAGCACGACTGCCATTTGGCCTTGTAAACTGAGAAATGGACTTGGAAGAGTATTTCTCTTATTAGAGAAGGCCGAGATACCGCCATTCCTATTCCGTCAAGTTAGCATGCACAGCGATAGAAAGTGAAACACAACAAGAACACACTGCAAGAATGCACTCTTGAAAAGTATTTTACAGTATAAACACTCAAAAATGAAGCTTTCTTTGAACAAATTTGATATCGGAAGGATAGAAAATGAGTTCATTGACATGATTCTGCCCTTCAAATTCACGTAGGACGTATCATTCTTTCGCAAATTGCGTTTAAAGTGGATGTGTACAGTCTGGGGTAGGGTTCCATATCGATTTCCCGAATTCAATCCAATCCAATTCCGATTGCCTAAACTGAATCCAATCGAATCACAGCATTTCAAGACATTGATACAGCATTAGAAGAGGACAGTAAAAACAGTACCAGCTCATGTTGTACTTTTCCTCCAGTCTGAGCAATTTTAGCGACATTAGTCGTTGCCTACTTGTCAGCTATCTTCATACAGTAGCAAGCAAATGTTGGCCAAACACTGAACAACCTTTCTAATTAATCATGCTTGCTGCAATGTCCAATCTGCTGCATCGTTGGCTACTTTACATGCTCTAACAACATGTAAAATAAACTTTCTATCGACTATGTCGAACTTGCTTGCTGGATAGTTTAACGGTTCAATTTTTAGCAGCAGTGGTGTTACCGAATTTATTCAAAAATCCGTCATTTTACAAAATCACTAGGCATTTGGTAAAATCACTAGGCATTTTGCAAAATCATTAGGCATTTGGTAAAATCACTTTGCATTTTACAAAATCATTAGGCATTTGGTAAAATCACTAGGCATTTTACAAAATCATTAGGCATTGGGTAAAATCACTAGGCATTTTGCAAAATCATTGGGCACTTGGTAAAATCACTAGGCATTTTGCAAAATCACTAGGCATTTGGTAAAATCACTAGGCATTTTGCAAAATCACTAGGCATTTGGTAAAATCACTAGGCATTTTACAAAATCACTAGGCATTTGGTAAAATCACTAGGCATTTTGCAAAATCACTAGGCATTTGGTAAAATCACTAGGCATTTTGCAAAATCACTAGACATTTTGTAAAGTGACGGATTTTTAATAATGACGGCAACAGTGGCGATATTGGAGGAAATGGATTTCAAGGCCATTGACAACAAAGGAAAAAGTGCTGAGAAATTTACTTTTCGATACGCACACTAGACGATCAAAAGAGATCGACAGTATCTATACAGAGTCCAGTATAAATAGTATCTTATAGTGCCTTGCATGAACAGTCCATGTCCGATTTCTTGTATACTCCGAGTAGAAGGAAGGATAGAGGGAAGACTACTAAACTGTCAACAAGTTCACCCAAGCGATTTTGGTAATCTTTGCCGATATTACTCTGCTTGTACGGAAGAGTAATCCAAAAGTGATCTTCATCTTGGAAAATAAAAACGTACATTAGTCATGACCACCTTTTAGTCTAGCATCGTCTCTTCAATATTACAAATAGCATCGGCTAACGGATTGCTTGAATTGATTATCGTCCACTATTTCTTGCTGGTACGTTTTACAATTCAAGAGAGAAGGTAAGCTACAAATGTTGGTATCTGTAAGATCGCTCTTACTTCACTTCACTGATATTGCATCAATTGGCTATAATTAGCAAAACACTATCTCACAAGATAAAATTACTTTCTATAGTAGTGACGACTTCTAACTAGAGTATTACTTAGCTAGTTAAAACGGAAGGAATCTGAAAATTGATGCGGCTCTACGGTAACTAATGATTAATTCTTAATGGGTATATTACAGTAGACGAGGATATAATAGTACAGTCCATCATCATTCAGAGCAGGAGAAATCTTAGACTGTATGCATTGAAGAAAGACTCGATTCAATAGTATGGAACGCTTGAATGCTATTTTAGACTTATAAACCTGCAGTCCATCATCATTCAGAGCTGGAGAGATCTTTGAATGTATGCGTTGGAATGCTGAAGAAAGGCTCGATGCTATAGCACGGAGCAATTAAATGCTATTTTAGACTTACAAACTTGCAGTCCATCATTATTCAGAGCAGGAGAGATCTTTGACTGTATGCGTTGGAATGCTGAAGAAAGACTCGATGCTATAGCACGGAGCGATTGAATGGTATTTTAGACTTACAAGCTTGCAGTCCATCATCATTCAGAGCAGGAGAGATCTTTGACTGTATACGTTGGAATGCTGAAGAAAGACTCAATGCTATAGCATGGAAAGATTAAATGCTAATTTAGACTTACAATCGTTTAGTACTTCATCACTCAGAGCAGGAGAAATCTTTGACTGTATGCGTTGAAGAAAGACTCGATGCTATAGCATGGAACGATTAAATGCTATTCTAGACTTACAATCGTTTAGTACATCATCACTCAGAGCAGGAGAAATCTTTGACTGTATGCGTTGAAGAAAGACTCAATGCTATAGCATGGAACGATTAAATGCTATTTTAAACTTACAATCGTATAGTACATCATTACTCGGAGCAGAAGAAATCTTTGACTGTATGTGTTGAGGAAAGACTCAATGCTATAGCATGGAACGATTAAATGCTATTTTAGACTTACAATCGTATAGTACATCATCATCCATAGCAGGAGAGATCTTGAGACCACAAGATCGAAACATTTCTCGATTAAATGCTATTTTAAACTTACAATCGTATAGTACATCATTACTCAGAGCAGGAGAAATCTTTGACTGTATGCGTTGAAGAAAGACTCGATGCTATAGCATGGAACGATTAAATGCTAATTTAGACTTACAATCCTTTAGTGCATTATCACTCAGAGCAGGAGAAATCTTTGACTGTATGCGTTGAAGAAAGACTCAATGCTATAGCATGGAACGATTAAATGCTATTTTAGACTTACAATCGTATAGTACATCATCATCCATAGCAGGAGAGATCTTGAGACCACAAGATCGAAACATTTCTCGATTAAATGCTATTTTAAACTTACAATCGTATAGTACATCATTACTCAGAGCAGGAGAAATCTTTGACTGTATGCGTTGAAGAAAGACTCGATGCTATAGCATGGAACGATTAAATGCTATTTTAGACTTACAATCGTTTAGTACATCATCACTCAGAGCAGGAGAAATCTTTGACTGTATGCGTTGAAGAAAGACTCAATGCTATAGCATGGAACGATTAAATGCTATTTTAAACTTACAATCGTATAGTACATCATCATCCACAGCAGGAGAGATCTTGAGACCACAAGATCGAAACATTTCTCGCTAACTTTACTTATAGCCCATATTCGATCAAAGGATTATCTATTTTGTAGCATGATACTGTAAATAGACTCCTATCTTAGCTAGACAATTGCAATGATCGACTAAATTACAGTCATGGAGGCATGCAATCAGGATACACTCTTCGCTATTGAATTCTTGATCATGATCGTAACATCGATCCATTTCAATCCATGCTGAAAATAGGATTGATTAAGGCGAAAATAGAAGCGTTAATAGCATCAAAATCTTGACTTTTATCGATAGGTAGCTAAATTGGGCCCATCGATGCAACTGGATGGATGGATTCTCTTTGGAAGGATTATCATGACTGAATAAATAAGTAAATGACCAGAGCTTCCTCAAAGTGCTTTTAGACGGCAATTGAACACCAAAACGCGTAGTTATTGAATATTCCTGCAAGTTCTTTTACTATTACAGTTGCCTATATTACGATTATATAGAATGGTATTATCTAACACGATTAGAGCTATCCTAGATAGTAATTTCCAAAGAATAGCCAAAGAGACTCCATTGCTTGAACTTTTATTCGATCTAAGAACCAGTACCGTATTTACCAAGGAAGAAATTGCCAGCTTAAGACAATGTGATAGTCTAAGAGAGAGGCATCACCAGTTTCTAGTTCTATTCAGAACAAAGACCGATGCAGATTTTCGTCAGTATTACATTTCCTTACAGAATCATCGATCTAAAAATGTTCAAAAATTCGGTCAGCGCTTAGAAACTGAAGCTATCGCAGCTTTCAAACAGCCAGCTGGTAAGATTTTGAACCTTGCATAATCACCTAGAATAACAACTTTTTCAAAGCCTATGATACAGATATTGCAAAAGGAAGCAGTTTACTAAAATCGATATGTCATCTAAGATTTTGTAATAACCGTTCTATTATTTTAGATGCTACATCTCATTTGAATATCAGTAATGAAAGTGAGATTGGATACAGAGGTGAGTACTAAGCTTATAGCACATCATTTGGTTAGTTGGAGTCAAGTAAATAGTTACGGAACAGATTGAATTTAAATATCTCTAAATCTGTTAACGATAACATAAACAAGTGTCGATGGCCTAATTATTTTCCTAATCTATGTCATTTGAGATAGTTGGAATAGATATGGTCATCGACATCCACCTCTTTAAAGGATACTTATAGTTAATAAGAACTATTGCTAGTCTTCCTGCCTTTTATATCAATAGTAACTCAATTTTTAATAAATTGTGGAAGATAACTAGTATTTCATAAAAGATATTTCTCAAAATCAATAGGCTAAAGTTTGTCCTAGATGGATGAATAATAATATTATTTGCAGTGATAATGATGTAAAAGTTGCAATTTAGAAGATTATATAGCAATCATGGTACTCACCTTATGAATGAATATATTTAAATATAGATCCCAGACCCTATTTTCCAGTCGTTGCTGAAATGATTGGGATTAAATGGATGAAATTAAGCAGAACGTTGGACTACGAAATCCCAAGCCGTTTAATCGATTCTGAATGTAAATCACAGTGTGATAAAGCTGTAGCTGCGCTCAATAGCTGGTATGATAAGCATGGCCAAGGTGCAACAGTAAACAAACTTAAGGTTGCTTTATATGAAATTGGCCGTAAAGACATTGCTGAAAAAATTGGTAGAGCAATTTTCCTACTCAATATGCTTGATTATGATGGATTGCTAGTAACGATCTTAATATGGCAATATTAAATTACTACCTATGTAATCAACTACCATGAGTTAACGGTTTTTTTTAATATGTATGCCTATACTACAGGATCGTCAAAAGATGAAACTACAGCAGCGAGATACAGTCGAAGAATTTCTATACCAGATAGTAAGTTCAATCTGATATCTTTATTGCGTTAAATGCTACAATCGTAATTGAATAGTAGAATTTCACAGAGGTAGTCTTATAATTGTATATTGTGAGAATTACTTGCCTATCTTTAACCGGCAAAATTTAATAAGGTAGGAGCATAATTGCAACAGCTATATTTCGGTACCCTGAGTTTAGTTGAAAGTTGATCATTACGATAATTATAAAAATGAGGTAACAATCTTTGTTAAGAACTATGTCGAATTGACGTAAAGTAGCAAAAGTAATCGCCTTGTGTCCTACTGTATTCCCTAATGCATTAAAGATATAACACTTTGCTTAATAAATTACGTTATCATAAGACGCATTTATTTTACATTTAATCAATTACAGCTATGCAGATCAAAGAATATTACTTTACTTACGTAAAGGCCCTGAAGCGAGGTCAATGTCAGAGTGATTTCATTCGAATTATGTTTATTGGTCCGGAAAATGTCGGCAAAACTACAATCATGAGAATTTTGATCGAAGAAATACGAGTATATCATTCAGCAGCTACGCAGGTTGTAGAAAATACAGGTAAGATGGTCGACTTTTCTACTTTTAAAATATATGATGGCACGCAGCAAGATTACTTTGAAGTTTTAAAAAGAAAAATTCAAGGTGCAGTTGAAGATTACAAAGAAAAACAAATCGACATGCCCAATTTTGATGAAATTGAATCTTTATCTTCTCCACGTAATGAAACAAACCGTGATGATAATGATAATTTATCAGACCATATCAAGGAAACCAAAGCTCAGCGTCGTCAAATCATTCGTAAATTTTTTAAACAACATCTGCGGTTGACGGAAAAATTCAACATTGATCGAAATCAGTACGGAAAATTATGGGATTTCGGTGGACAAGCTGTATATCATGTAACACATCAACCCTTTATTTCGGGTAATAGCCTTTATATTCTAGTCTTTAATATTGCCGAAAGTATAGGAAACAAGGTGAAAGCTCGAGGAGGAAAAGAAGCTAGAGATACTTATCTTGACAGAATTAAGGAATGGCTCACATCAGTTATAGGCTGCAGCAATAGTAATACTGAAATATCAGTAAAACGGAATAATCAAGCCGCTGAAACATATAGGTTACCAGTTGTTATTTTAGTAGCTACACACGGTGATGAAATTGAAGGAAAGCAAGATCCTATAGCTACCTTTGATGAATTTACACACAAATTGGTCGAGCAGTTACCATCATATAAAGCCAACATATGTTCATCTCGAATTATTTTTGATTGTGGAGAAGAAAATTACAACACCTCTGCAAAGATTGAGGAGCGTCTCCGACGTCGCGAAGATTTACTCAATATCATAAAAACATTTGCCCAAGCCTTGCCCTTCGTTAACAAGCCAATCCCTACTAAGTGGTATTTCATGGCTACTTTATTACATAGCCAAGAGAATGGCATCAAGAATATTATGACTACAAGTGAAATCAAGGAAGTAGCTATCGATTACGGACTATACGAAAGAAATATGGACAGTGTAGAAGATGATCAAGAATTAATCGATATGTTACTCTATTTGCATGATATTGGTGAATTATTATTTTACCGAGAGGAGATCACAAAAGAAAATATTGTCATTACAAATGTGGAATGGCTAGTGAAGATTTTTCGTGCCTTAATTGTATTAGAGGGAAGTAAAACTATCACCAGCGCTGATACTTTGGAAGACTATAATATCGCTTACACTACAGGCAAGGTGTCGAAAAGGGTATTTGATAATGCATTAAGTCCTTTTAACTTGATAGATGATGATAAAGAACGTGTTTTGAAAATTATGGAGCACTATAATATTATTTGTGAAATTAAGGTCGATGTTGCTTCTAGCAATTGCATTCGTCAGTTTATTGTTCCATATTTACTACGTCCTAATGTGACTTTTACGACGAATAAAGAAGAAGAGTATGTTTCCGGCGCACTGTTCATGGGATTTAATAAATCAAATATACCATATATATCGGATGGCATCTTTTATTGCCTCGTGGCGGCTTGTATGAAAAAGTGGAATAATCAATTTGTCAAACTGTGCTATAAATGTGCAAAATATTATATACGTCAAAGCGACTATTATATGATTATTAAAAAAAGCGAATCTTACATTAGTTTGGAATACTCGTATCAGATATTAAATGAGAATGAAGACTTGAAAGTTAGACAAGCAATCGAAGTTCAGCGTCCACAATTTTTCATTATGGATACTTTTAAAAAAATTATTAACGATAGAATGCCTAGATTTCAGGCGGCTGACTGCTCACTGTATGTGACTTGCTGTATGTGCGGAAAGTTAACAAGTCAGTTAAGTCATGAAGATCAAGATCATAAGGGAAGAATCCGCTGTCAAAAATGTAATTTCATATTTGATTCGCCATCACTTGATCAATGGGGTATGAAAAAGAAAGGTCTGTTGCGAATTTGTCTGAATTATCTTAAATGTTATCAAATCAATCAAGGATAACTGCCAGAAATATAATGAAGTTACATTAGGATTTCATGGCTGATATTTCTAGTTTAATACAATTTTGATACCGAATTTACAGTAGATAAGAATGCAAAAGGTTAACTTTATAATATAAGAAACTTTTTGCATTTGTAAGTTTAGATGTATTTACTACAATTTTATTATTTGGAGAGCATGTAGCAGTAATGAATTTTCTCAATTTGCTGTGCATTATGGTTTTGCTATAATAGAATTTGTTTACGTTCTTTACGATAACATCGTCGAATTGAAAGATATTCAAACAATGTTGATCACTGTAATAAAGATTCTTTGATGTTAATAGGATTCCTATGATACCTTAGTAAACCTTGCAATTACTAACTATACAGCAAACATACCGGTCTTTTGGGAAAGAAAGCGTACACTGTGACTAACATATTTTTCTTCTTTTGTTTTTATAAACGCTATCATCAATAACAGATATTATCAAGAAAGAAGAACTGAGCTCAGAAAAGGCTGGTACGTATTGCAACGCAATGGATCAAAACTTTAATTTTTTCCTTTTTGACCTAAAGATAGTTTTAACGATTGTAGTGTACGTATTCGTAACGCGATGTTATCAAAGTGTGTACATAAAAATACGCAATTTTGTAAAGTCACTGCTGCAGATTTAGATAGTAGAAACTTCAAAATTTAAACAGCCCTTATACTCAACTTTTTTTCTATCCCCATAATCGCCCAAATTAGTTAATTTTATGTAATGTAAAAATTAGCAATCCTTACTAATTGTTTGTTGATATACTTTACTGCGTTAATGGCTCGATATAACTTTAATATTTTGTTTTAGACCACACTTACGTGTAGTGTGTATTCTAAATACGATTACAAGTAATCCACGGTAAACTAACACCTACTGTTTGCTGATTTGAACAGTAAACTTCATCAAGTGTTTCGACATAATAGCCGAAAAACTGGATCAGAAATGCTTGTTCCGTTTTGCAACGAAACTAGGGCTGGAAGTTAAAGATATTGATGAAATTACGATGAACAGCTCCACCTCTTATGATAAAGTTCTCAAAGTGCTAGATAGGTGGCACCAAAACTTGGGTTCAAAGGCTGATATTTGGCAGGTTACTGGCATTCTGCGAAATATTGGAAATGTTTTAGCTGCAGAGATAGTGGAAGAGCATTTATGTAGTCAAAATTGATAAGGTTATATTATGCATAATATCGTCTCTTGTGCGATTGCAGAGTTTAAATGTTGTTCATCAGCTTGAAACAACTGCTAACGATAACGGTCTACGTATTTTTTATACTACATTTAAGCTAAGAGAGAGTCGAATAACGGGTAGCATGTCCTATACGATCGGTTTCCATAATTTCGAAACGTCTCGATCTGCACAAGGATTCACACTTATAAATTGAATTAATGCTATTTCTAACAGCAAAATATTTTTAATGTTAATGTGAATATCAGTGACCGTAATTCAACAATTTTTTTTAATTTTAATTAATATGGCAGTTGTTTGGGTTGCAAATTGATATTGTGCATATTATTTTCAGTCCAATTTGACTGACGGTGAAGTAAATTTGGTCTAAACAGTCCGTGCATATGTACGTGCATTAATAATAGTCATAAATGGTCAAAAGTTTAATTATATTATTGGTCACAATATGTCTCGAATACAATTTTATTCATTTTCTTGGTAATTATGATTTACACGAAAGATGGATATGGGAAAGTTTTCACACTCGTTGTGCTTAGAATATCCATAAACGACATAGATGCTTCAGATACGAAATGGACTAAAATGGATTAAGGTACTAATCTGTTCTATCTTAGCTTGAGTCTATGTCAGCTATAAAGATGAGAATTCGTCGTTCTTTCTTTTATATCAAGCTACAATTCCGTAAATGGAGATTGTAAGAACAAATTCCCTTTGATAATATTTATGACCTTTTATATGACTTTCCCGTTCAAGCCAGTTACATAATAGTGAGTCTTAAAGCGGTCCTAAGGTTATGCATGCATAGCGGAACAAAGCTTGAGAGTATACATCGATTAGATTCTGATCATACTACTTACGGCTAAAGATAATAGAAGGGAGTGCCCGTAGTGATTCCAAAATAAGCTGGATCTTTACAGAAGTTGATTTGCCTCATAAGCAAAGCGAGCATGCTAGTAAGGCTACACGATAGCCTACAAATATTTCTCGTCCGATTCTATAGTGAGCTTCAAAGTAATTGGCCTGTAGCTATCCAACATTTTCCTCTAAAGATAAGCCTTCTGAGAAAATTAATCATTGAAACGCAATTGCAAACGATAATCAATCATTAACGGATCAAATTTTAAAAGTCAAGGATCGACTAGCGTAGGAGAAAATAGCAACTACTACAGTATATAGCTTTGACATGATTTTTAACTATGCTCTAAAAGGATCTTTTAGCCTACCATCTCATCTATATGACGTATACGCAGTTAAAAGAAAGTTAACTTCTTACCTTCTACGTAGAAAAACTTACTGATCCTATTTATTTTTAATATTAATTCTGTCAGGCATTATCGTGCAAGATAACACTGTTAAAATATTTAGTACATTGTTTAGTTTACGGCTATTTATTGTTAACACTGAAAATCTACTAAATTTTGACTGAAATGTATTTGTAAGGTCATTGAGAATTTCATTGAATTATCATACTATCACTGTTACCATATTTCTATATCGGCAAATACAGAAATTACTTTCCAAAGGATCGATTGTTTGTTTTATTAGCATATTATCATATTCTGATGAAAATTGAATAAACATAGAATCTTTATAGAGTTTTCTACACAGCCATTTTGATTGTTACATTTTCTTATAACGGTTGTTATCGACAGAGCAAGCTTTGCTTGCATACGACAGCGATCCTTAGACACATTATCATGATTGGTATAGAATTGACCACAGTACTAAGGACATTCTACCGCACTGTAGATATCTTACAGTACCTGCTAATCTTAACTTGGTATGTCCATCACCGTACATTAGTTATCAAAATGTGCTCTGGACCATTAACTAATCTTAATATAGCATAGTATATTACTATCAGGCATGAAAATTTTTTAACAATATTGCTCTAGATGGCACTATATGTGTTTTAACATTTGATTAACATCCATCTAGGAGTAATTGTCATATAGAATTTGTTACTAAGATAGAATATTGTACCAACCGAATTAGCGATACCATTCAAGTGAGCTTCTTCATTATAAATATAAACAATATCTTAATGCAATAAACATAACTTGCAATAATTAAAGAAATACCTTTGTTTTCGAAAGCCAAAAATTGCTCTAAAAAACTTAAATTTCATTTTCTCACTGCAATATCGGCGATCAATTCTTAAATGACAATAAACAAACAGTAAATAGGCAGGGATAAACTGTAAAGGTTATATGTATTGTCAATGTTCCCAATTGATTTTGTCGAGGATAGCTTGAACAGAATACAGAATGGATTTTTGCCAGTGTTTTATAATTGATCATTTAATTAGTTTACAGTCATAGGTTTATATTCCATTGCAAGATGCTCTCAAATCGCTCGTAAGCATGGTTCTTATCATAGCAGTTTATGAAATTTGTTCTAAAAATGTCGATACTTATCCCCAATATAGAAGTCGTTACTTTGCCGCCGTAAAATTTTGATGACATAGTGAATTGATTAATGATGGATAAAATTAAATTTGTAATACAAATGGATAAATTATCGTTTACGGGTGTTCTAAATAGAAAATGCTTGAAAATTTTTCCATACCTGGCTAGCGTGTAAATTATAGTTGCCCCAAAAAGTTGATAAAATCCTATTTGAGCTATACAATGACGAATAATTATATACAATCTCTGACCATTTATGACTAGTATACACAAGAAAAATTGATCGGATTGTACTAAGGACATGCAATGGATTATTATAATTGTCATATGCAAGAAAAGTTCATTAAATCATATTCCCGACATACAATGGTGAATAATTATAATCTTTGACTATTTATGGCTACCATAAACAAGAAAAGTTGATAAAATAGGGTATCTCAGAACGTTCATACTTTCAAAGTAGCTTTAAGGTAACACCGTAACTGAGATATGAAAATGAATAGTATTTAATCCTTGCATATATAGAGACTAATTACATGCGACTAAAATTCCAGTACTATATATATAATGAGTAATTTTATACAACTACAATAAGCATTCTATATAAAAGCCAACTCGGCAATGATTTAATTTTTGGAATGAACAGAAGAATTGTCACTACGGTAGGACGTATAAGTAAGTACTGGAACTAAAATTAGAATAGCACATCTATATTTAAATAAATTTAAAATATTTTTAACAGCACGAAAGGCGATCAATGGTATTTACGCGAATATTTATGAGTGGTATGAGTATTAGTCTTTGTACAAACCCTATGCACAATATTTTTCAAAATATTATGGTGGTAAACTCTTTATAGACGTATTTAATACCAGGATCAGATTGAATGCAGTTATTATGAGAATATGGCCGAATGAGAAGCATATTCATCTATCAGAAAAGAAAATACGATCATTTCCTCACTAGCAAGTCTCCAATCTGCATTACTGTGAATTATTGAAATACTTCAGTAATCCTAGATATAATTGATCCTGAGCTTCATCACAGTTT